TTTTTACTATTTTTTTGGCTTTTGCTTTTGCTACAATGCACAATAATATTGAACACTTATAGCTTCCATTCCATTGCCCCTATATATAACCCTCCAGGCCCCAACACTACCCTCTGAAATAGCTTCAGCTATTACAATAAGTGCAATTTTGACAGATGCATGCATAAACCACCGACCGACTGCAAATTGGCTCGACTCGATTCAACCCGTAAATTACGGAGTGGTTACAAAGAGTGTCTTGATATGGTGAATTTCATCTTAGTTAACGTTTTAAGAATTTTTCACCGTTCGATCAATACAGATAATATAAGAATGTGTATAATTACTGCTTAGAATTCAAGTTGGGCTTTAAAAAAATTCAAAACTAAATAAATTCAAATAATTACTAAGTAAAATAAAATAATATCCCTAAAAGTATTAAAGTATCTAGGTAGTGAAAATAATATAAGTTTTCGGGAAATGGTACAGTCCTGTTATGGAATCATTCTGTTGCGGTTTGTGACCGTTAGATCATCATGTAACCGTCAGTGATAGTTAATTTAACGGTTACAAATTTTGCCAGAATGATTCCGTAACGGGACCGTAGCATCTCCCTAAGTTTTCATGCAAAACAAGGAAAGAAAAGCAGCCTTTTTAGACGTGGGGGTATGGTTGTGACTATACATATGTACTAAAGCACTCTTCACTTTATCTCATTGTTTTCACTTTTCACTACTTGTCGTTACTCTCAACCATTGTAGGCCAAAAAATCTCCAACTTTTTTCACTCACAATATAAATATATTAATCAAGTGATAAATTTTATGTTGTTAGAATTGATGACCACAAATCTCCAACTTTTTTCACATAAATATTAATCAAGTGATCAATTTTATGTTGATAGATTTGAGCACACAATCGTTTTTCTCGTAACCCATTAATCCTACTTTGTGTAGAGCAACAGTACTAGATAATGTCAGTTTTTTTCTTGTAAAATATATAATTGAATTGATCAAGGGCTAGTGAACGCCCAATAGTGAAAAATAACCGATGCTAAAATTGTTCTCCTATGTAACGGTTCAACAACAAGAAGAAGTCGATAAAATCCCACTAAGAGGAGTCGATTATATTGATCACATGTCATCATCGTGCTCGATCAAAACACGTATCCTTATTCAGATTTAAATATTTTAAATCATTTTAAATTGTTTTCTTTCAACCCTTTTTAATTTGCATTATAATTCTAATGTTTTCACCCTTCTCACCAGAGCCTTAAAGTCTCCTACGCATATTTTCAAACCATCTTAATTGTCATTATCTCATTTTTTCCTATATGGGCGTTACCCAACTTTACTTCTAATTATACTTTAATTTCTATTCTTATCTAACATAATATGCCCACACATCAATCGCAACATTCTCATATCTGTCACTCACATTTTGTGATCATTTTAATATTTAATAGCCTAACATTCGAATCCATAAAGCATGTCAGTCGAATGACCGTTCGAAAGAATTTGCCATTCAAACTCACTAGTACTTTTTACAATCACAATGTATCGACGACGCACCCTCCACTTGTTCCATCCTGAATGAATTCTATGTCCTACATTCTTATTTATGTTGTCGTTATCTTTTGTAGATCCTAAATATTTATTAAAACTTATAAATGTGTTCAATTCGTGTTCCCCAATTTTAACTTTTAGATGTGTTCAGTTCCTATGTAATGGTTCGCAACCCCAAAAAATTGAAAAAACCAAACTCACCAAAAAAATCGAACCACACTACAAATGAGAAAAGCCAAATCAAATATTTTTCTAAATAATCGAACTGAACCTTACCAAAATGCATCGTCCAATTCATTTTTTTTTTGGTTTTACATCGAATTTTAGAGACATCTATACTCAATATGGTGCAATTCAGTGTAAAACCAAACCTAGAAAATCAAAAATCAAACATGTTGAAAATAATAACTGAACCGCAGTGTAGTAAAATAATCAAACCTAAACTGAACCGAACCAAATAATTTTCACTAGAGAATAAACCAAACCGCATCAAATTGCACGGTTTGGCTTGATTTTTTTTTTCTTTTTTTTTTCAACTGATTTTGGGTAA